AGAGTGTGACTTTCTTAGCTAGCTCCCCATTCTAGCTAGCACAGTGGTTTGTAGGCTTTTTTAGATATGCAGACAAAAATCTTTCCAGGAAACATGTGAACCTATCTAGTAAATGTAAGCCTATTAATAGAAAAAGGTAGCTCCAAACCCTTCTGAAAGGATTTACAGAGGCGCCAGATATTAATAGACTATGTCTAAAAGCATAAGGACGATGGCAAGTGTTACAATCACGAAAGATTTAAAACAGTTAACTTTTATACTTCTGACCTTCTGTGTTTGGCACAGTCGGTACCAAAACTTACTCTGAAGTAGCAGTACAGTGTTGGTACATCAAGGCAAGTAGTTTTTGTGCTGCTATTTTATCCTTCTGTATTGATGATGGTATCAGCAAGCATGTCAGAGGATATGGCTCCTGAGAAAAGTGGGTAGTATTTCTGTTGTTCCTGTCTACAAATCATAGTGTTTACAGGCATAGTATATGAAGAATTACAATTATTTGTATAGGATTTAAGAATATCAAATGAGATACTGGATGATAATTCGTATCCCTTTTTCTGTGTATCAGTGGAGCACTGAAGAAATAAAAAATTAAAAAAAAACCCACCATCTTTATACCTTTCTGTGGTATATACCATTCCGTGAGATTCTGCAAAAGAGGATCTTTAATGATTAAAAACAGAAGGGGCTTAAATTTCTGTGTGCTTATCTCTTTAAATGTATTATGAATTGAAAGTAGAATTATGTAAGTCTGTTTTGACACTAAACAGACCAATCATAACCATCCGATGAGATTTGAATTTGTTGGGTTTTTTGACTTACTACGTCAGAAGATATATCTGATGTTTAAAAGCTAACATGCATTAGTAGTGCAGAGATGTAACCAGTATGTGGTGCTGTTAATACTTACATTGGCTAAGAATGAGACTTCCTAGCAGTCTTTTGATAGCTGTATTAAAAAAGATACCATTGTTAAAAGAGCTGATGTGAATTTAGAGTGATACGATTCTCTCCTCACTTTTGGGAACAGGTCCCATTGGAAGAAGGTTTGAATAAAGCAATTCATTACTTCCGTAAAGAACTTGAGTATCAGGCAAACAATCAGTATATTCCCAAACCAAAACCTGCAAGGATGAAAAAAGGAAGAACAAGACATAACTGAAGACTATTAGTTGGACAGGAAATTCCCTGCTTGACATTTGACGGATGTAATTTTTTTTTCTTCTTGTTTTTTTTGAGAGAGACTTTGAAACAGGTATCATGAAGAACAAACTGGAATTTCATTCTGAAGCTTGCTTTAAAGAAGTGGATGTGCCTAAAAATAACAAACAAATATTCCCCTTCCCCTGCAAATCTTGCCTTGCACTTTTTAAATCTGTCTTTTTATGTAAAATAGAGTAGAAGCATCTTTTAGTATCTTCAAGTTTTATATCTTGCTGTGAGATCATTTTGTTGTGACTGTCCTTGACAGTTTTATTTACTGGTTTCTTTGTGAAGCTGATGATAAACACAAACGGGATGGAAAATGCCAATTTATTTATAAAATGGGTACTATAAAATATGAGATGTTCTACTATGCATAAGAAAAAAGCTAGTGGTATTGTCAGGTGAGAGATACTGACATCTAAGTATAGAGGAGTTTAAAAGAATTCTGTATGAGAGCTTTATGTATTCTTTAAAGGAGAGATTTTTTCAAAGGTTTAGTTTTAGTTGTACACTTGAATTTGAGATATTTTCATTGATTACCATGGATAAGGATATTTTGAATCACTACTGTGTTGTGCGTACTCTGGGAATAAAGTTAATGTATTATTGGTTACAGTGGTTGAATATGCTATTTTAATAAAATACTGAAACTTCTATTTACTAGTTTCAGGGTTTCAATGTGGGCACTTCTCTGGCATTACACATCTGTGCATTTATGTATATTAATTAGAAAGTAACAGTCCGTAAATAATTGGCTCAAAGTTAATAACATCAGTCTTTCATTGCTTTCTCTTAACAGATATATTGGAAGGGCTGCAGAATGTGTGTTGAAATAGACTGGACAAAAACTTCATGATTTATTCCAGTTCAGGTAGTTGATAGTGGTGCAGGAGTATGAGATTTTATTTAAACCGTAGAGTCTAACTTCAGCCTCCCTAATGGAGAAAATGTTTCTATTTTAAGCAGTTATTGATTTGCCAGTAAATGCTTTCAACTTTGATAACTATGACTGTCATCTTAACCAAAAAAAAAAAACAAACCAAACCCGACAAACAAAAAATCTAATTCCCCTTGTTTTTAATAGTTCCCCTTTATTTTTAATACCTAAGACGGGATACCTAGGAGGGGAGATTGGCAGAGAGTTTTTAAAAGGTATTTTGGCTTAGTGCCACTCAAAATTGAAAATCCTAAATCTCATGAAGCAAAGTGATTTGATTTTATCTCATTAAAGCTTGATGTTTTCTTAGCTTTCGAGTATCTTTAGGTTGATAGTCAAAGTGGCAGTTACCTGTAGCAATGACTTGATACCAGGACCCAGGGAGGACTCTGGGAGCGGTGTGCTATTTAGGCCCCCTTGTCCGAGCATGCCACCCGCCAGAGCCTGCTGGTGCTTGCAAGGCTTGGAGTTTCATCCAGTCTGTCTGGTAAAGTTCCCTAGGACTCCAGCAATGATGAGGTGCTCTTTTCGTTTGTGCGCCTTGCCTGGATTGGGTCTGCAGTGATCCTTTTAAGACAAAACGGTTTCTTCCCTGCTCACATGCGCAGGTTTTCTTCCAGTGGAAATCTGCTACGCAGCTAAGATGGGGAGCCGGGGAGCGTTTTCCTGGCTGGATTCAGAAGTAGAATTTAGGTATTACACATTGCCTCCATCTTTTCATAGCTGAGCAGCTTGAGGTCTGCTTTTTGTTTGAAGCCTTTTTCTAGGTACTTGATCTGGGCATTTATTCCATATTAAATTGCCTGAAAAGTACACCGTGGTGTGCGTGCTCCAAATGTGCCTGTAACGTATCATTACTGATACACTCACAAAGCACAGCCTCTCCCTATACTCAAAACCACAGCTGGATGTATGTTGAAAGTAGCGCCCAGTTCTTTAATAGTTCTGTGGTGAGAACTGCTAATCGGCTCCCAGCATGGTGTTTTTAACTCTTAAGCTCTAGGTTATATTTGGGGGAAGGTGGTCTTTCTCCTTATATTTTATTCCTCATGCAAATTGTGCCACTGGATGCCAAAGCATCTGTGAAAAGGTGGTGCACAAGGGTGCAACCCTAGTCCAGAATTTAGAGCAGCCATTGAGAATAAATGAGAGCTGTGGGTACCAGCTGTTACTTCCAGGACTGTTTTTCATTTAATCCAGTAAGTTCAGTGCAAAAAACGTAAATTGTACTGGAACAAGCATGCTTCTGGAGACTAGCACAAAATGTGCATTTTTCAAAAAAAAGAATTCCTCAGGAAGTCTGAATGTTTGGATACTACAGATAGTAATTTAAAAGCTTTGTAGGTTACTTCACAGCCTGAGCTCCATCATAAAAGGAGCAAATCGGAGAGAGGGCAAATGGCTGGTACCGATACAACCCATCTGTGAGTATGTGGCATGCCTCCCACTGGGCCTGAGTGACAGACTATTGATTTGCTACTTTCTTTGTACTGGTTCTAGCTTTCGTTTCAGAGGTTCCTGGTTCAGTTCCCGTATTCTTTCTAAATAGTGTCTTCCATAAACAGCAGCCGAGGCAGCTGTTGCCCTTTGTGTTTGAAGACAGTGACTGGCCACTTCGCTGATTCGAAAGGTGTGAATCGTAGGTGTTTGTTAAAACAGAGTCTGCTGGTGCTTAAGACTGAAAGTCTAAGGTAATTTCAAGTTTGGTTTGGTCTGAACTGAGTCTTCAAGAAGGCAGATGAGGGTTTGCATGTTGGTGCTCTCTGCTCCCATCTGTCGTGTCACATCTCAGAAGGAGAAAGAAGGCATCAAGTTTGCAGAGAACCACAGGTGAGAAACAGCTGCTGCCTCTCCAGAAGAGCTACTTTTGATGGAGAGTGGTGGAATACAGTACTGAAAGCTTGGAAACATAGGACTCGGGAGTAAATGAAGCCAAGCCGTGTTCTTATTTCCATGCCTGAACACAACATATTGTTTTGGGATTTTTTTCAGGAAATTCGAGAATTGGGATTTTCTGCTGTCACCTGGTCAGGCAGACAAGGTAAAACGGACATGACCAGGCTTGAGGTGCCTATTTAGTCACAGTGATCTGCATGAACGGGCAGCTCAGCTGGTGTTAGATTCAAGTCCTCCTCTCTCAATAGGGAATATGTAATGTAGCAGAGGTCTGTGACGAACTGGCCAGCTTGGTGCTGGCAAGTGAGATAAGTCTTCTAGAAGGAAAGGTGTGCAAGGCATCCACTGCTGTGGGTTCCTTGAACCTCACAAGGAGGACCACTCTTGCTACTGGAAGTTACCACAGTGTGAGGTCCACAGTTGGATTTTTTTTTTTTTAAAAATGTGATGTACTTTTACTTTATTTCTATATGTAGGCTGCTCGGGAGCTTTGTAAACCACATTGCTGGTCTACAGACAAGCTACAGTGGAGCTTGCAGACCTGATTTATTTTAAGTAATTCCATGAATGTATAGTCTAGAGAAGCCTCATGTCTATCTTTAGGTTTGTTTTTTTGCTATGTGAGGAAATCATGATCCGACAGTCTTCCTGTGTCTGGGGTGTTTGCAGTTTCTCTAACCTATATAGACTCTGGCGAGTTTAGTAGCCATTGAACTCACCATCCTCCGGGCATTTATGAACATCTCTGAGTCATCTATTTTTTCAAGAAACTTTTAGAAATGTAGTATATTTGAAAAAACTTTCACTTGTGTCAGATAGAGTTGGAATTAAGTTTCAAAGTTGAGAGAAGGAGGCAAGGGAGGGGGGGAAGACACGAACACAATTGCATAAATTCGTTAGCCTTAGAGAACAGGCTACAGAGGGCAAAACAGGGCTTTGATTAGTGTGATGGATTGAGCTAGTCCGCAGGCTTTTATTATTGAGTTTAATGCTACTTGAAGGTTGTTAGAGCTGATCAGAGATGACCTGTCCACAGGAAGAAGATGCTTTGTTAATAGCAAGGGAAGTGTGTACTCAATATTGCTAACCCTAACATGCATACGTCCCCTCCCTGAAATCGGTGGGAATGTAGCCACCACAAATCCGTAGTTGCTCTGTTGTGAACATTTGCCTGTGCTTGGATCACAAGTGGTGGGAGAAGGGAATGCCTTATTTGCGGCTCTGGCTCCCTAGAGCCACCAGGAACAGCAGCAATAGCTCTGGACAAAAGCAGGGCTCCTTTTGTATGGCAGAAGGTTCCTCAGTGCGATTCCATATCAACAGGGAAATTGGTCTGAAATAACAATTCATATTTCTTGCAAAAAACAGACTCTGGTTCTCTATTCCTTTTCCCAATCCCTTTCGTTCTCTCACTTGCCTATTCCATAATAGCAAATGTGGCAACAACTTCTTGTCTACCTTGTTTTGTTGCCATTTACAGCCTGAAACAAGCAACAGCTTGTTCATTCTTGCAATGTTTTCCCTAGTTTCTGTCATGCTCTTCAGCAAAGAGGGGATCCTCTGGAATGCCTTGATCCATGCCATGGCTGAAGCAGCTGGAAAGTCCGAAACATGAAGCCATAGGGAACTGTGGGGTGGCCTTAAGTACCACAGTCTGGGCTCTGTCCACCCCACTGCAGAGAAGGCTGTTTTGAGCAAGGAAACCTACATCTTCCATCTGGGAAACAGTCCTGAGGTAAGAGTGCCCAATCCCCCATTCCAACGTGTTTGTATGACAAGTAGGAACTTAAAGGGAATGAAGGCCCCCAAAAATAATAAAATAAATATATATTTAAGACTGCTGATGAAGACACTTGATCTGGAGAGAGAGATCTCTATCTAGACTTGGGGGGGAGTGTATGAGCGTGGCTGTGGGGGCACAGCAGTAGTACTTCTGTGCTTTGACAGAAGGGTTACCTTAGAGGTATTCTCAGCAAAGGAGGCAGGACTGCCCTGTCAGTCCGTCTGACGGACTTGCCACCAACTGGGGGATGTGGCAGCATCGGGTCTTGAAACATGAAGTGCTGGACCATGGCCGAGCTGTTCCCGTTTTGTAGGGAGCCACACTGAATAATGGCTGCTCTGCTGTCTTGGTGGAGAGGTTGTGTGATGTCAGTGCCGGCATGGCTGGGGATGATGATGATGTGAAGCGCTCTGTGCTGTCTGCACAGCAGAATGGAAGGGCTGGGAGGGGGCGCACAGTTTCGTCTGTGTTTTGGGACAGAAATAGTCAAAGGAAATTAACTTTGCTAACGTAGTTAACTTTGAAGCACTCTGTGCATATTTGACGATTTTTTTTAGTTTTCCTCCTTTTGCCCAAACCTGTGATAGCTCATACCTGCTTGCTTTCTTTGTAGCTTATTGCATCATTGTAGTTTTGCATCATTGCACTTTTGCATCATTGCAACTGCTGCACTTCAAGTCAGGTGGACCCCTCTGCAAGAAGGAAGGTGCCCTCCCCTCAGAGCTATTGCTTTGTGGTGGGTTGACCCCAGCCAGCAGCTAAGTACCCTCACAGCCGCTCACTCCCCCCTATCCCAGTGGGACAGGGGAGAAAACAGGAAGAGCAAAAGTGAGCAAACTTGAGGGCTGAGATAAGAGCAGTTTAGTAAGTGAAGGAAAGAAGGAAAAAAACCCAGGTGGCGCAAAGGCCACTCACCATCTCCCCTAAGCAAGACTGATGCCCAGCCGGTCGCTGAGCCATGGCTACCCTGGATGATAAAACCCCCACCCCCTTCTTCCTCTTCCCAGCTTTTATTGCTGAGCAAGACGTTACATGGTATGGAATATTGGTCAGTTGGGGTCAGCTGTCCCACCTGTGTCCTCTCCCAACTTCTTGCCCGCCCCTAGCCTACCTGCTGAGGGGGTAGCGTGGGCAACAGAGAAGGCCTTGATGTTGTGCAAGCGCTGTTCAGCAACAGTGAAAACATGGGTATGTTATCGACACTGGTTTAGTCACGAATCTGAAACACAGCACTGTACCTGTTGTTATGAAGAAAGTTAACTCTATCCCAGCCAGACCCCAGTACATGGTGGAAAACGTCAGCGTGCGGCACAATGTAATGGAAAAGATTTACATTTTTTCTCTTAGAGAATCCACAAGAGAGAGATCGTAGACTTTATTGTGAGCCTGCAAGGCACAGAAGGCTGCTGGACTGAGTCAGCCTGCAGGAGTGGACACAGCTTACAAAGGCCTAGGGAGGGATGGTATTTATTTACAGCACTTTTTTATTCTTCCTTATTCAGCAGGTCTGAATTCCCAGTTGTAAATTCTGGGAAACGATGGAAATTATCAGCATGGTTCAAACGTTGCCAAATTCTGTGCACTTTTTTGATAGGACACAAAATGGAAGTATTCTTCTAGGAATAGGTGTTTTCCAACTGTGCAAAAGAGTGTGTGCTTGACTCAGAATATGATTATTCCATATTTGGAATAAAGGGTCTTCTACCGAGGAAACAGACCAGTTTAAACCGATCAAACTGGCAAGGATTCTGCTAAGAGCAAGCGCTCCAAAACCTAGGGGAAAGCTGAGTTTTTGGAGCATGTTAGGCTAGCACGTATCTGTGCGTGCAGAAGAGAAGTGACTAACATGTTTGTTCAATTTGGCTCCCTCGGCAAAAAGCTGTCTCCCTGGAAGCGTTCCTGCAGGGAGCTGGATAGTGCCGGGCTGCCTCTCCAGGACACCAGTCCATCACGCAACGAGGACTTCAAGTGAAAGATTGGGAAATACAACCAGCGTTAAGAAAGAAGTAAGTGAAGTGTAAAGAGTGGTGTTGCCGTGTTCCATGCTTTGGAAGCTTCTTGTAAGCTTTAGATGACAGACAGCTAAAGCATCCATGCTGTCTTTCTTCTCTGACTCTGCTGTAGTTGGCAGTACACATTCCATCTCTCTTCGTCCTTATTCTTCAGCTCCAGAAGTCATGGGGCCAGCCAGCCTTCCTCACCTGCCCCTTCCCAGTCCTCTACGCTTGTCAAGCTTCAGCAGTGCTTTCCCCCACCAAGCTCCTCCTGAAGCCCCTGGCAGCTGAAATCTCCCTCCTAGGCTTAGGTCTGCGTCAGGACTTTCTCTACAGTAACGAGAGAGAAGCAGCAATGTGGCTGATGTTGCTGTGGTAGAAAAGTTGGTTGTATTTCGGGGTTCTTAACACACACAAACTCACCAACCAACCCCCCTTTAATCCACTCTACTTCATTAAAATGCCCAGTGTCTGATGTATTTTGGTGCTCAGCCCAATATGTATAGATTCCGGTTTGAATTGGGGATAGAGGCAACTTCATGGTAGGAAATTACTTCTGGGGACTGTGTTGGATGCTATCTGATACTAACTTCATCTTAAATAGCTTATTTTGTTATTTTATTCCCTGTTTTGAGCTACACTGAAAGATTGCAGCTAAGTGGAAAGGACACAAAGGGGAGTATTCATCAAAGATAACCTTTGGGTTATCATGCCTGGGGAGGGTAGGGGCCACTCAGGTTAGATGCTCTGCATCTCAGCGATTACTTCTGAAGTCAGGTTCCTCCACTGAGCCCTTTCCCTGGAGAATCCTTTCCTTTCACAGGCTTTGCAGGAGTGCGAGCTCCTCTGCACTGAGTTTAGCTTTTATGAACATCTGTGTCCTTGCCCCAACAGGAACTGTGGAAGTGCTGTATCACACAGGTTTGGAGGGCTGTGCACAGTAGGTATGGAAACAGCAGAGGAGGCAACAAGGCAGCCCTTCAGTTGAGAGGAATGTTTTTTTTTCTTTTCCCCCAAGAATAATTGGATTTATTTGTTGACACAAATCTGAATGAGCAGGCACATCTGAAATGTATTGGCTTATATTATGTCTTCTGTATGCCAAACTAGATGATATAATGTAATTTTGCAATTGTTTGTAGGAAAGTAAATGAAAAAGCTCTTTAAAAATTGTATTACTGTAGTAATACAATTGGAATGAAACTTGCTGAGCCATGGCTACCCTGGATGATAAAACTCTACTAAATAATGGCAACCTGTTTATTTTATCAAAAAAGCTTTATTTCTATAACACTTTAGATATAGTGTACTACTAAGTAACGATAATTAAAAGTCATGTTCTTCGAAGTCTGGCAGTGCCTTTACTCCTGCTGTTTTACATGAACAGGAGGAAAGCAGGGTCATTCTGGCTGAGGGAGGACTCAGCCTCACCCAGTGCAGCCCTATAGGCACCAGCTATAGTAGGATAAATGGCATTAGTAATCATCATAGTTGACACCTGCTCCGTGCCTGAAGGTGTGTGGATTTCGTGGGCCAATTGGTGAATCTTCATCGTAGTGGTGTTGGTAGTATCCACCGTAGTATTCATTACGAGCACGCCCTAAGCTTGTCCAGTAGGAGATGTCATCTTCAAATTTCTGCCAAAAAAAGAACACAACTTGCTTTCCAAGCCTGAAACTTTACAACGAAGAGAGTGAAACAGAAGAGGTGCAAGAGGTTCCTTTTATCTCTTTCAGAAATTCAGATCCTTTGCCTATTTGTCAGAACGAAATCTTCAGATCTAAGGGGTTTTGTGACTTGCATCTACCTTCTTTAGGGGATTATCAGGGCCCCGAGTGCAGGAACTGTCCTGCCCAGCCCCACCTGGGACCCATCCCCACACCCTCTGCCCACTGTGAAGTGCTTAAACTGAGAGTGCCTTCAACTGAACATGCACTGAGCACCTTTAATATTTACATTACATTTTCAGTGGTGGACTAGAAGAACATTTCAATGTTTTGTACTTAAAAATCTAAAGGTTTGGTTCTCCGTTGCCCTGTGCCTTTAGTCATGATGTCCCTGACTGCAGAGTGGGTGCAACAGGCTTTCGCTTTATGCCTGTGATCTTTCATTCCCATTTTGCATGGGTAAAAACGAACGTACAGTGCAGCCTTCTAGCTATGGAAATGCAATAAGCAGTTCAATTCTGCTCACAACAGCAGAGGAAAGACAGTGTGCAAGGATATCAAATACTTGCCAAGCCAAAGTCTTTCCATCTGAATGACTCTTTGGAAATATTTTTGGCTGAGATTTGAAAAAAAAGCTTTGCAAAATACACAATGGGTAAGTATGGCCCAAGTCCTTTGCTGGAACAAACAGTTATTTCATTGTTAAAACTGTGTCTTAATACTGAAGAAAACCTACTAAGTGGATTCATTGTATCCCACAACGGGCCTCATTTCAGTTTTTGAAATGCACAGAGGAACTCAGAGGAGAATTCATCTTACCTGCGTGGTTTGTCCTTATTATTAACTTCTCGGTATTTGCCCTCAGTCTTCAGTTTCTGATGCATACACCCACTTTTCCTATTTTTCCTATTCCTATTGGGGGAGGGGGATATAGCCAGGCTGTTAAAAAGTCACTTTTATCTGCATAGTGTCCAGGAGGATACAAAAAAATGTATCCTTCATTATTTCAGTCCAAGCAAAGGATTATTTTTCTAATTGTTCCAGCTTTGAAAATGAGTGCATTCATCTTCTAAGCAATCCACAGAGCATGAAGGTCCAAAATGTACTCCAGCTTGCCTGTGCCAATGCAGTCTCATTAAACGTATTCATGCAGCTGACAGAAGCCAAGAATTCAACATCTAGAACTATTTTTACCTCTTATTAACGTAGAAATTATTCTACATGTGGGACTGCAACTAAATGCACATTTTTCGCCCTATTTCAGCATCTATTTAGTAGAGCTTTGTGCAGAGCCAGGAACTCTTGATTCCACTCCAGTGTTTTTACAAATTAACTGTTTTAAAAAAAATGTATCCTCCTTATTTGAAGGGAGGTTGGCTGCACATTACCAAATGGTTTTCCTTTCACATTTAGAGTCGAGGCACAGCTGCCACCGGTGCTCGTGATGGTCAGGAGCTGCCCGCACCGTGAAGGCACATGCATGCATTATGTATGTAATGTTAGTGCCATTTCATTGAGGAAAGCCAATCACGACCAGCTTGGTGTGGATTTCTCAGCGTGTTAAAAAGCAAATTGATTATGTGGAGGCTGCCAAATTAATTTCCTGAAATACAATTGATTGCTTTGGGTCTGGCCGCCTATTTCTCAAAGCAAACTTGGTCTGGCTGCAATTTGTTAAGCTTAAGTTCAGTAGCAGGCAAGAACTCCACACAAGATTTTAATGTCGTTTTTCTCTATTAACAAAATAACGCAGAAATCTCTAACAAATACAGAGCTTGTATTTCTGTGCAATATTTGCTACTTTAAAAAAAGAAATCGCAGTGTCTGTGATCAGAAACAGGGGCAGCTTCTCCCTGGCTGCCCCCATGGCTGTGCATCCATGCTCGCAGCCGCTTGCTCTAAAGCCCTACCAACTCTGGAAAGCCTTACACTCACCGCCTCGTCGAATCCCAGATACAGGAACTGCTGGTACCACTGCTGGACGTCGGGCTGGCTCCTGTCCCACAGCTGACGCCTCTGGCGTCTCAGGCTGCTGAGGAACTCCTTGGCCGCCGTTTCTTTCACTGACACCTCAGGCTTCGTGGCAACAGGGGCTGAAATTAATTCCCCCCCAAAAAGACGTGCCAGGAAATTTTTAGTCAGCAAGAAGCATACCACTTGCAGCAAGTAAGAAAATGCTTCTCGCATCATGCCATCACCTTTGTGCTTGGCAGCGTGATGCAGCAGTAACAGTAATAAACCCAGGAATCGTCAATGTAATAGGATTTCTCAGCTACCCTCATTCTCTTGGCTTTGATAAAAGCTGTTCTGAGCTCAAAGACATAAGCTAAGTAAGGCATTTAAATAAATAAACCCAAGCTGAAAGAGCATACGCTGTGTTGTGCTTTGAGGAGAGAACAGGAGACTGGCCTCTGCGCTGCTGTTTGGTGCAGGAACAGGAAAGAAGATGAGAGGTGAAGTTAAAAAGCCTGAAGAAGCTGGAGAAAAGCTTCTAACTTACTAGTGTGAAGGGAGGCAGGCATAAAAAGATAGATTGTTGAATATGTTGTGTAAAAATGTAGCTTTTAAATAACGAGTGCTACTAAATGCCCTGGATGCCTGAAAATAAAAGCCCATCAGGCTTTCATAGCGCGCTGCTTGGTGGATGCATGGGAATGCCCTCAACGTGCCAGACCCAGAGGTGCCATCTGGCTTGCCCCATGACTGAGAGGCCGGCAGTTTGCTGCGGCTGCTAGAGGAATTTGTGTACCTTCGAAAGGTATGGATGTGAGGACTGGCTAGTCCCCTGCCACACACAGAAGTGATAAAACGTGGTATGATGTTTGGTCTTCCTGTGAAACAAGCAGCAAGTGTAGGAGTAGGGGGAACGTCTTGGCTTCAGAGGGTTCATTGCAATGAGGGAGAGACCAGGAACATGGGTGTGGATGGGGATTTTCGGAGGATGCGAGGAAGGAGGCTAGGGCAGAAGGGGAAGTCGGGTGGAGATGTGAAAACCATTGAAGCAGGAGCGGGGCAGACTCACAGGGGGAGGCAAAGGACTGCGGGGGGAAGGAGGTTCAAGAGGTAAAAACGATAGCTGAGTTATCACAGGAAGAGTGGGAAACAGCAGGCTGCCCTGCAGTGATGAGCTGGAAACTGATCACTCGCCATGCGCTCGAGCTGGGTGTGATTACTGGGACGTGGGACAGCTGATCAAGTGAATGAGCCTTGCACAAGGGACACTGCCAGCAAGGGACCCGCTACTGTGTACTTAGCCTGCTGGCTTTAGCGC